CTGGGTGGAGCTCCGCTTTAAAGCTAAATGACGTACATGTATGTGATTTGACATTCAGTAGTTATGTTCCTGTAGTCTTTTGTACAGCTGAGTGTGGCAAGGTGTGTGCTGCAAGCCAGTTAGACTCAATTGCATTGCCCATTATTGCCAATGTGTCATGCTTTCAGGCACTGGGAGCAGGGGGAAGAAGTGTTTAGGCCAGCCATGCTTAACCAGAGTTCTGAGGAAGTCTAGGGTTCCCCTCAAGTTTCTAGGGGTTCCTGGAGCAGTGAGCAATGTCTGCCTCTGAGATAAGTTGACACTGACATCAATGATCTTTTTAGCTATCTGGGGATTCTTCCCAATGTAAAATAGAAAAAATCCACGCTCTGTGTCACAAAAACGAAGAGGCATGTAAAGACTGCTGCCACCTCTATACCTCCTCTACTCCACAATGGCTGCGCTGTCTCTTTAAACTACAGAAACTGTAGCTGCTGACTTTTAAAATACAGACACTTACTTGTCCCTCGGTCCAGCGGTGTCCTCACTACGGCTGGTTTCACCGGCCGTCTTCTCTCCTTGGTGCCAGCATCTTCAGTGTGGGCACCCGGCTGTGACAGCTTGCAGCTTCACAGCCGGGTACCCACTGCACTTTGTGAATGGCCCCGTGGTCTTCTGGGACCTGTCACGTGTCCCAGAAGAATATGGGGAGGGAGGGTAGGAGGGCAACTTCCGCTTCTGATCGCCTAGGTGATCGCAGAGGAAGTGAGAGCGGGTACCTGTCAAATTCGGGTACCCGTTCCCCAAGGGTGCCAATCCTTAATGGGGAGCCGCGAACAAAGGCTTAAAGCGGAACTTCCCCTTTTGGGTGGAGCTCCACTTTAAGGGCTGTGGTTCACATTATAGAAACACAGTCCAGATGCGGATACGCTTTTGCATGCACATTTTTGACACGTTTTTGACACGTTTCAGTTTTTTTTTCTTTTCTTTTTTCCCCTCTTTTTTTTCAATTTTAATAGGGACATGTGCATTTTTTATGCATTTTACTGCGTTCCAGTAAAGCTCTGTTTTTTTCTGCAACTGGAACTGCAAGCACTGATGTGAACTGTGACACTGACAGCCATATCACCTACTTTCTGTGTGTTTTGGATGCAGAAAAAAAGCAACTGAAACACATGTAGTGTGAACTGGCCCTCAATGGACCAACACAGTGTTCAAAAAGTGCTACTGTGCTCAAATAAAATCTAAAACGCTATATATTCTCTATGCCAGTATCAAAAGATATAAAAAAAGTGCACATAAATGTTACACACAAAACAATTTAAATCAAATATTCTGTACAAAGCAAAATTCATATGACAGATCCGTAAAGCGGAGTTCCACTCACTCTGTAAAAAAATAAAAGTCAGCAGCTACAAAAACTGTAGCTGCTGACTTTTAAAAAAACAGCCACTTACCTGTCCCATGATCCCGCGTTGCCCCCCCGCGGCAGCCCGTTTCACCGGCTGTCCTGTATTCCAGGCGCCAGCATCTTCAGTTTGGGCTCCCGGCTGTGACGGCTTGCGGCTTCACAGCCAGGTGCCCACTGCTCATGCGTGAGAAGCGCTGCGCTTCCTGAATGGCCCCGTAGTCTTCTGGGACCTGTCACATGTCCCACAAGACTTTGGGGAGGGAGGATAGGATGACAGCTTCCGTTTCCGATTGCCTAGGCGATCGCAACGGAAGTGGGAGCGGGTACCTGTCAAATTTGTGTACCCATTCCCTCCCCTGCTTCCCAAAGGTGCCAATCATTAATGGGGAGCGGGGGACCAATCTTTAAAGCGGACCTTCCCCTTTTGGGTGGAACTCCGCTTTAAGTGCCAGTTCACTCTACATGCATTTTCAGTTGCTTTAACTTCTTATACTTACCTGAGCCTGATCCCAATCTGGCGATGTGCATGAGAGCAGAAGCTCTCCCGGGTCTCTCCCTTCTCATTGGCTGAGCCATTGCTGTCAGTCACCGCTAGTGAGGAGGGGGCTGAGCTGCACTCTGTGCGTCTCATAGACACACAGAGGAGGCTCGGCAGCAAGCACACATAAGTGCCCCCAGAGAATGCAGCTTGCTCTGGGGGCACTCAGAAAGGGAGAGGAGCCGGGAGCACCGAGAAGAGTAGGATTGAGGCTGCTGTGTGCAAAACCATTACACAGAGCAGGTAATTATGACATGTTTGTTGAAAAAAACATTCTGAACTTTTACAAACGCTTTAAATTCAGCAATTACTAGCAGGGGTTCCAAGACCAGAAAATTATTTCAAGGGTTCCTTCTTGTTAAAAAGGTTGAAAAAGCCGACTAAACAGCGGAGGAGATGACAAGGACCTTAGCAGTGCAGTCATGCATTTTCATATTTGAGAGAGCAGTCATGTGACCCAGAAAAATTCAGTAGCGATTGGGGTGTCACCATCCTGGCTGTGCTTTGTAGAAAGGATACAGTGAGGAACAGAAGTATTTGAACCCCCTGCGATTTTGCAAGTTCTCCCACTTAGAAATCATGGAGGGTCTGAAATTCACATTGTAGGGGCATTCCCACTCTGAGAGACAGAATTCAGGAAATCCCATTGTATGATTATTAAAGAATGTATTTGTCTCGCACGGCTGAACAGAAGTATTTGAACACCTGAGAAACACCAAGAATTCTGGCTCTCAAAGACCTGTTACTGCGCCTTTAAAAAGTCCACCTCTACTCCACTCATCTAACTTAGTAGCACCTGTCTGAGCTCTTTAAAGACACCTGTCCAACCCACAGTCAGTCAAATGCCAACTACTACCATGGGCAAGACCAAAGAGCTGTCAAAAGACACCAGAGACAAAATTGTGGACCTCCACAAGGCTGGAAAGGACTACGGGGCAATTGCCAAGCAGTTTGGTGAAAATAGATCAACTCTTGGAGCAATTGTTAAAAAAATGGAAGGGGCCTAAAGATGGACTGGGGCTCCATGCAAGATCTCACCTCGTGGGTTTTCACTGGTGAGGAATCAGCCCAGAACTACAAGGGAGGAGCTGGTCAATGACATGAAGAGAGCTGGGACCACAGTTTCAAAGGTCACTGTCGGTAGAACACTACGCCGCCATGGTTTCAAATCATGCATTGCACGGAAGGTTCCCCTGCTCAAGTCATCACATGTCCAGGCCCATCTGAAGTTTACCAATGACCATCTGGATGATCCAGAGGAGGCATTGGAGAAAGTCATGTGGTCAGATGAGACCAAAGTAGAACTTTTTTGTCTAAACTTCACTCGTCGTGTTTGGAGGAAAAAGAAGAATGAGTTGCATCCCAAGAACACCATCCCTACTGTGAAGCATGGGGGGTGGTAACATCATGCTTTGCGGGGTGCTTTTCTGCGAAGGGGACAGGAAGACTGCACTGTATTAACTACTTGCCGACCGCAGATAGCCGAATGACGGCTACACTGCGGCCGGCCAGTTCTGGGAGGGCGTCCTATGACATCCTCCCAGAACGCGCTCTCCTGCGCGTCCCCAGGGGCGCGCGTCCCCAGGGGCGCGCGCCCGGTGATCTCCGTGATCGCTGTGTCCTACGGACACAGCTGATCACGTGATGTGGTAAAAGGCCAATCACAGCGGCCTTTTACCACGTGATCAGCCGTGTCCAATTGCACGCTGATCACAGGGAAATGCAATTGCCGGTTCTCGGCTGCAGTTTCCTCACGATGTCAGATCGTGAGGAAAGTACTGCCGAGAATCGGCAGTTGTTAGAGCAGGGATCGGCACCAATCATCAGGGCACTGATGATCAGTGCCCTGATCGGTGCCCAGCAGTGCCACCCACCAGTTCCGCCCACTTGTGCCCAGCAGTGTGCAACCACCAGTGCCACCCACCTGTGCCCAGCAGTGCCACCCACCAGTGCTGCCAGTCAATGCCCAGCAGTTGCGTCAGTCAATGCCTAACAGTGCCGCCAGTCAATACCTAGCAGTGCCACCTATCAGTGCCGCCTATCCATGCCACCTCATTAGTGCTGCTTATCAGTGCCACCTATCAGTGCCCTTCAGTGCTGCCTATCAGTGCCCATCAGTGCTGCCTCATCAACGCACATCAGTGAAGGAGAAAAATTACCTGTTTGCAAAATTTTATAATAGAAACAAAGACTTTTTTTTTGTTTATAGCGCAAAAAGTAAAACACCCAGCGGCGAGTAAATGCCACCAAAAGAAAGCTCTATTTGTGAGAAAAAAATGATAAAAATTTCATATGGGTACAGTCTTGCATAACCGCGCAATTGTTAAAGTGCGACAGCGCTGAAAGCTGAAAATTGGCCTGGTAAAGAAGGGGGTATAAGTGCCCCGTAGGCAAGTGGTTAAGGAGAGGATGAATGGGGCCATTTATTGTGAGATTTTGAGCAACAACCTCAGAGCATTGAAGATGGGTGGTGGCTGGGTCTTCCAACATGACAACGACCCGAAGCACACAGCCAGGAGAACCAAGGAGTGGCTCCGTAAGAAGCATATCAAGGTTCTGGAGTGGCCTAGCCAGTCTACAGACCTAAATCCAATAGAACATCTTTGGAGGGAGATGAAACTCCGTGTTGCTCAGCGACAGCCCCGAAACCTGACAGATCTAGAGGAGATCGGTGTGGAGGAGGGGCCAAAATCCCTGTTGCAGTGCAAACCTGGTCAGGAACTACAGGAAACGTCTGACCTCTGTAATTGCAGACAAAGGCTTCTGTACCAAATATTAACACGGATCTCCTCAGGGGTTCAAATACTTCTGTTCAGCAGTGCGAGAAAAATACATTCTTTACAAATCATACAATGGGATTTCCTGAATTCTGTCTCTCAGAGTGGGAATGCCCCTACAATGTGAATGTCAGACCCTCCATGATGGAGAAGTGGGAGAACTTGCAAAATCGCAGGGGGTTCAAATACTTCTGTTCCTCACTGTATATGAGTCATAAAAATGGCTCAACAGAACTGCAGCCATTTGAATGGAGTTCTTCTTTTGGTGTCTTAACTATTCTGTATTTCCTGACAGAAATCTGGTCTTGAGAAGGTGTCTCCATGGCTCCCATTACTGGAAGATTGGATGCTAGATGTCATGATCTTGGTGTGTGACCGGGCTTCTGATACTGGTAAGACTCATCACCTGACACCTTCATACATCTTCCCACTTAGGTCCAGGCATGCTGTAACGGAACCGGCCCCAGACTGTGCTTGGGTACTTCCGTTATAAAACCGCTTCCCCGTCTGAACACCGACCACAGACACCACAGCTGACCATACAAGACCAGAGGACACCAGTCTGTCTGAACATGGAACTCTTTATTTGAAACTTGAACTGACTTTTTATACACTCAGGGGGCAATCCCCCCTCCCTGCATAATGACACAGGGCAGGGCAATCTATACTTAGCAACAAGAGACACACAGGCATTCAAACTTCACACCAGCAGACAGTCCCATCAGGAGGGAGGGCTGCTGGAGACACCCCCCCCCCCCCACTAAGCTAATACACAAACACATACTATCTCATAATAGTTTGCTCCCAAGCAAGACACACAATAGAACAATGGGATGCAACCACATGGCATTAAACAATCAACAACCCCCCACCCCAATATTAGGACAGATCACCCTGTACCCCTAACAGGCACAGGGTGACTTACACATAAGAGGGATATGGGGACCTGACATGGGGGTCTCCCCACCTCTCCAAAGTGAGCTGTGTTCCATGGGCCCCCCACCCAAAGTGACTCCCATCACACATGCCGACAAATGGAAGCCTTTCTCTGTGTATAACCTCATCTCCACTCTTCATACCTCACCTTCAAGGTAGTCCTCTGGTCCAATATCTGTAGACACACAAATTCACCACTGCTTCTTCCTCCATTATCATTCCTTACTGCCTATTTGTAAGCCTAAGGCCTAGTTTACACTGGCATTGAAAGCGGGCGTTTGAGGGGCATTTTTAACGCTCCTCAAACGCCTCTGCAAATGATACTATGGACAGCGCACAGAGCTGTTCACATTATCAAGACTCAAAACTGAAGCCTCATGTGGAGTCTGGAGGAGTTTGAAGCCTTTCAATGTCTCCCATTCAAGTCTATGGTGACGTTTCACAAATGTGCTGGCAGGCATTTACGATTGTGACACGTTAACCACTTGCCCTCCAGAGGATTCCCCCCCCTGACCATTTTTTGCAATGCGGTACTGCGTTACTTTAACTGACAATTGTGCGGTCATGCAACATTGCACCCAAATTAAATTGATGTCCTTTTTTTTTCCACAAATGGAGCTTTCTTTTCGTGGTATTTGATTACCTCTGATTTTTTTTATTTTTTGTGCTATAAACAAATAAAGACCAGTCACCGATCCATCCAGGGGTGGAATCACTCCTAAAGGGAGAGCTCACAAACAGAGCCCGGAGACAGCGCAATATAGTGTAGTATGTTTACTGGGCGGATCCCTTTGAGAACGTGTGTGTGCACGAAACGTGTCGGGGAAGAGCCTACGTGCTGACGTCACGCCACCGAGTCCATGCGATGGTCCGGCGGCCATTTTTGTAAGTGATTTTATTCCTGGCTTGTGTTATACTCCCCGTGGTTGCTGTTAGTTTTAATAAACATACTACACTGTATTGTGCTGTCTCCGGGCTCTGTTTGTGAGCTCTCCCTTTAGGAGGGATTCCACCCCTGGATGGATCAGTGACTGGTACTAGGAAGTAGACAGATGGGTTTCAAGGAGTTATTTTCATCCAATACTGGCTTGCATTTTGCTTCTGGTGAGTGCATAGTGGTGGAGGAGTATCACAGACGGCACAGTCATTTTTGGTCACCATTTGATTACAGGTTTTTTGGACCATATCACAGTGGATTATATTCATATATTGGACGTTTTGTATTGGTCATCTATTTCACTATTACATTGTTTGGTAGCATATTCATACCAATTTCATTATTGTGAAAACCACTCACCTCTAAGCTCCTTGAGCGCTTGGTCTACGATCGCCTAAGCGCCCCACCTAACTGACAGCAACCTCCTTGATCCACTTCAGTCCGGCTTCCGTCCCCTACACTCCACCGAAACTGCCCTCCTCAAAATCACCAACGACCTACTAACCGCCAAAGCCAAAGGCGACTACTCTGTCCTCCTTTTCCTAGACCTCTCCGCGGCCTTTGACACAGTCGACCACCTCCTCCTCCTTAATAAACTACTCTCCTTTGGCATCAGAGACACTGCTCTCTCTTGGTTCTCGTCCTACCTATCCCAACGCTCCTTCAGCGTTTCCTACAACGGTGCCACCTCCCCTTCCCTCCCCCTCTCTGTTGGGGTCCCCCAGGGCTCTGTCCTTGGACCCCTTCTCTTCTCCATCTACACCTCCTCCCTTGGCAAACTCATACACTCCCACGGCTTCAATTACCACCTCTACGCTGATGATACTCAAATCTACCTATCCACCCCTCACCTCACCCCCACATTCTCCGCCCGCATCACTCGCCTCCTAAACGACATCTCTGACTGGATGTCGCTCCATTTCCTCAAGCTCAACCTCTCCAAAACCGAGCTTCTCGTCTTTCAACCTCCCCGCGCCCCCCCCCCCCCCATCCTTTCCATCACTACCAAACAACACCACCATCAATCCCGCCCAGCAAGCCAAGGTCCTTGGCGTCATTCTGGACTCAAACCTTTCCTTTCAACCTCATGTCAAATCACTTACAAACACATGCAGGCTCCACCTCCGCAACATCGCCAAAATACGCTCCTTCCTTACCCCAGACACCACTAAACTACTCGTACACTCCCTGATTATCTCACGCCTGGACTACTGCAACTCCCTCCTCACCGGCCTACCCCAGTGCAAACTCTCTCCCCGCTTCAGACCATCCTGAACTCAGCGGCCAGACTCATCCACCTCACCAGCCGCTCCACCTCTGCCACCCCCCTCTGCCTCTCCCTCCACTGGCTCCCCATCGCCCAACGCATTAAATTCAAACTACGAACTCTGACCTATAAGGCCATTCACAACACTGCCCCTAACTACCTCACCGACCTGATTCCCAGGTACCACCCTACCCGTACCCTTCGCCCTTCACAGGACCTCCTTCTATCTTGCTCCCTGGTCTCCTCCTCCCACGCACGACGGCAAGACTTCTCCAGGTCCTCCCCCATCCTCTGGAACTCACTACCCCAATCCATCAGACTGTCACCTTCCCTCCCCACCTTCAGGCGCTCCCTGAAAATCCACCTCTTCAGGGAAGCCTACCCCACCCTCACCTAACTGCCGCTGCCCTTCCCTCCTCCTACCACTCCATCCCCCACAGCCATTTCCTCCTGTACCACTACCCCCTCCCTCCTAGATTGTAAGCTCGAAAGAGTAGGGCCCTCTTACCCCTCGTGTGCTGTTTGTTGTTACTGTAATGTTTTATGTATTGTCCCCCCCTCTATTGTACAGCGCTGAGCAAACCCTTTGGCGCTTTATAAACTCGATATAATAATAATAATAATTGTAGCGCTGCACCCATTTATTTATATGTTTGTATTGTGAGAGCAGATGGTTTGCCACATTGTGCAAGCTGCTTCCTTTGTTTCTTTTGGCACTCACTATTCACTTTTTTTTATTAGGAGTAGTAGCAGTAGTATGTGGAGGAGCAGTAATAGTAGCAATAAGTGGCGTAGCAGTAGGTGTAGTAGTAGTAGTAGCAGTAGGTGTAGTAGTAGTAGTAAGTAGCAGTAGGTGGAGAAATAGTAGCAGGAGTAGGTGGAGTAGCAGTAGGGGGAGTAGTAGTAGGAGTAGCAATAGGTGGAGTAGTAGTAGCAGCGGTAGGTGGAGTAGTAGTAAGTAGTAGTAGCAGCAGTAGGTGGAATAGTAGTAGAAGATGGAAAAGTAGTAGTAGCAGTAGGTGAAATAGTAGTAGTAGGTGGAATTGTAGTAGTAGATGGAAAAGTAGTAGTAGCAGTAGGTGGAATAGTAGTAGCAGTAGGTGGAATAGTAGTAGCAGGAGGTGGAGTAATAGTAATAACAGTAGGTGGAGTAGTAGTAGTAGCAGGAGGTGGAGTATTTGTAGTAGTAGCAGGAGGTGGAGTAGCAGTAGTAGTAATAGTAGGTGGAATAGTAGTAGTAGTAGTAGTAGTAGCAGGAGGTGGAGTAGCAGTAGTAGTAATAGTAGGTGGAATAGTAGTAGGAGTAGTAGTGGTAATAGTGATAGGTGTAGTAGGCGGAGGACTAGTAGTATTAGTAGCCGTAGGTTTCGTAGTAGTAGGTGGAGGGAGGACTAGTGAAAGTAGTGATAGGTGTGGTAGTAGGTGGAGGACTAGTAGTAATAGTAGCAATAGGTTTCGTAGGTGGAGTAGTAGTAGTAGGTGGAGGACTATAGTAGTAGTAGCTGTAGGTTGTGGAGGAGTTGTAGTAGTAGGTGGAGGACTGTAGTAGTAGTAGTAGTAGACGTAGGATTCGTAGTAGTAGTAGTAGTAGCAGTAGGTGTAATAGTAGTAGGTTTCATTACTACCTTCACACTACTATTATGTGCTATTCACATAGTAGTAGAAAATCAGTAGTACCTTCAAGGAACTTGTACATTGTTTTAAAGAAGGCACAGTATTCGCTGCACTGCAAAGGATGTAAGGTCCTGATCTGCCAAGAGGGGGCACTCCAAGATCCCCTATGCAAGTTTTGACTGGAAACTGCTATTTATAAAATGAGTGTAAAATGCTGGCTGTGGCCGGGTGTAATCAGCAGACCGCTGTGTTCATGTCAACTCTCTCTTAAAACTAAGAGCTTCAATAATTGCTTCAGTTTCAGACCGTATTTTCCACTCCTAGTACTGTCACATCATAATTAAGATGGGGTCCTTTTTAAGGCTATACACAACTATCAAAAACAAAAACCACACCCCCCCCCCCCCCCCCCCCCCCCCCCCCCCCCCCCCCCCCCCCCCCCCCCCCCCCCCCCCCCCCCCCCCCCCCCCCCCCCCCCCCCTATGGTAGGACAGGCCTGTCAAAGAGGAAAATGGAGACCCCCCCCAACCCCCCCCAGGTTTGATTTGTCCATGTGGCCACTGCAGTGTATGTAAATACATGGAGCGTACTGGAGTGTTCACCAGTTCAGACCAAAATGCTGAATATTGAATCAGACCATTTATAAACTGTGGAACAACAAGAGTGCTGTATGTCATAGAGTGCCCATGCCAAAAATCTTTGTAGGGAAAACTAAGAAGCAACTCCGGGTGAGAATTGGTGAACACATTAGTATTAGGCAGAATGCAGATACCCCACTGGCCCGACATTTTGTTGAGGTCCACAAGGGAAAGATAACTGGACTGCAAGTTAAGGGGTTTTATGCCCTGAGGCTGACAAATAGAGGCTACAGCTTCTATGGTAGAGGTGGACCCTTTGGTCTGTACTATTTTTTTTTGCTTTCGCTGTGTTCATGCACCAGTACCCTTCATGAGCACGGGTATCAAACTGGTGGCCCTCCAGCTGTTGCCAAACTACAAGTCCCATGACGCATTGCAAGATTGACAGTTATAAGCATGACTTACAAAGGTAGAGGCATGATGGGACTTTGCAAAAGCTGGAGGGCCGCCAGTTTGACACCCCTGATTTAGAGGTATTCTACTGTTTGATTTGGGCTACCATATTGGCTGACTGGCTGTTGCAGCTTTATTTGTTCCAACTTTTCCTCTCTACCTCTTGTACAGTGATACTGCGTTCATATTGCAGGTGTGAGCCGGCAGACGGCGCAGGAGTGGTGTGTATCCAACATGGGTTTGAGCTGGTGGAGCTGAACCCGGAGGAGCTGCCAGATGAAGATGGTAATCAACACTTGGAAAGGAAATTTAACTTAATTTGAGAAGTTTCAGGAACTGTTCATTCTTTTATTCTTTCTCGCTGTAGATGATTTCCCAGAATCCACCGGTGTTACCCGAATAGTCCAGGCTTTAAATGCCAACGTGTGGTCTAATGTGGAAATGAAGAATGGTGAGCACCTTAAACCTTTTAAGGAACATTAGAATTTCACATTTACAATACATGCAGTTTAAATGGCATTTTTGCAGATAGTTTTGCTTCAGTTTTGTTTTACTGCTTCAAGGACGGCATTGTTGTTGGATTGTGGTTTTTTTTTATTTTTAATATTGTGAAGTGAAGTTTAAGGGGCCACTTATAGTGGAAAGCAGATATCATAGTCCAGACCATGAATGGCTTCCTGTTCTATCATTTGGGGGATATCTGTCCTGTTCTGACATTTGGGGGATATCTGTACTGTTCTGACATTTGGGGGGATATCTGTACCGTCCTGACATTTGGGGGATATCTGTACTGTCCTGACATTTGGGGGATATCTATACTATCCTGACATTTGGGGGATATCTGTACTGTCCTGACATTTGGGGGGTATCTGTACCGTCCTGACATTTGGGGGGTATCTGTACCGTCCTGACATTTGGGGGGATATCTGTACCGTCCTGACATTTGGGGGATATCTGTACTGTCCTGACATTTGGGGGATATCTGTACTGTCCTGACATTTGGGGGATATCTGTACTGTCCTGACATTTGGGGGGATATCTGTACCGTCCTGACATTTGGGGGGATATCTGTACTCTCCTGACATTTGGGGGATATCTGTACTCTCCTGACATTTGGGGGATATCTGTACTGTCCTGACATTTGGGGGGATATCTGTACTGTCCTGATATTTGGGGGGATATCTGTACTGTCCTGAGATTTGGGGGATATCTGTACTGTCCTGACATTTGGGGGATATCTGTACTGTTCTGACATTCTTGGACCTCAAGAAATTAGATTGGCCGTCAGTACTTCAGGATGGATCAGTTTTCAGATCTATACCATAGTTTGTGAACTCTATAACTTTCCTACAAACTAAATTATTAAATACTGATTTGGGTTATTTTCACCACAGAAATGTAGCAGAATACATCTCGGCCTAAATTTTATGAAGAACAATTATTTATTTGCAAAGTTTTATAACATAAACAAAGAAATACATGGTTTTTTTTTTTCCAAAATTTTTGGTCTTTTTTGTTTCATTTAGCTAAAAATAAAAACCCCGGCGGTGATTAAATACCACCAAAAGAAAGCTCTAGTTGTGTGAAGAAAATTATAAAATTTTAGTTTGGGTACAGTGTGGCATGACTGCGCATTTGTCATTCAAAGTGTAAGAGCGCGAAAAACCTGAAAATTGGCCTGGGCAGGAAGGGGGTAAAAGTGCCCGGTATGGAAAGTGGTAAAAAAAAAAAAAATGGTTATGTATTGTGTTTTTTTTTTAGAATAGATTAAAAAAAGTGCATTTTTCCCCAAAAGTTGCTTTTGAAAAATTGGTGCGCAAATACTGTGTGGCATAAAAAAATGTAAAAACCACCAATTTATTCTCTAGGGCCTCTGCTTTTAAAAAAAGTTGCAGAAATGTCTTGGGGCTGGATATAGAAGCCTATGGTATTAGGGTGGTACTTCCCTTCAACCAGTTCATCTGATTGGCTGCTGTGAAGAACCGCTTCGCTTTAATTTATGTCAGATTTAAAAGATAATTTTTACGAAGTGAAGTTCATATTATCATTTATTTATTTCAGGTACTTATATAGCGCCATCAATGTACGCAGCGCTTTACATACAGTGGGGCAAAAAAGTATTTAGTCCCCACCAATTGTACAAGTTCTCCCACTTACAAAGATGAGAGAGGCCTGTAATTGGCATCATAGGGAGACCTCAACTATGAGAGACAAAATGAGAAAACAAATCCAGACAATCACATTGGCTGATCTGGAAAGAATTTATTTGCAAATTATGGTGGAAAATAAGTATTTGGTGAATATCAAAAGTTCATGTCAATACTTTGTTATATATCCTTTGTTGGCAATGACAGAGGTCAGACGTTTCCTGGAAGTCTTCACAAGGTTGGCACACACTGTTGCTGGTATGTTGGCCCATCCTCCATGCAGATCTCCTCTAGAGCAGTGATGTGTTGGGGCTGTCGCTGGGCATCACGGACTTTCAACTCCCTCTAAAGGTTTTCTATGGGGTTGAGATCTGGAGACTGGCTAGGCCACTCCAGGACCTTGAAACGCTTCTTATGAAGCCACTCCTTCGTTGCCCGGGCAGGCGGTATGTTTGGGATCATTGTCATGTTGGAAGACCCAGCAACGTTTCATCTTCAATGCCCTTGCTGATGGAAGGAGGTTTGCACTCAAAATCTCACGATACATGGCCCCATTCATTCTGTCCTGTACATGGATCGGTCGTCCTGGTCCCTTTGCGGAGAAAACAGCCCCAAAGCATGATGTTGCCACCCCCATGCTTCACAGTAGGTATGGTGTTCTTTGGATGCAACTCAGCATTCTCTCTCCTCCAAACAAAGACGAGTTGTGTTTCTACCAAACAGTTCTATTTTGGTTTCATCTGACCATATGACATTCTCCCAATCCTCTTCTGGATCATCCAAATGCTCTCTAGCAAACTTCAGACGGGCCCAGACATGTACTGGCTTAAGCAGGGGGACACGTCTGGCACTGCAGGATCTGAGTCACTGGCAGCGTAGTGTGTTACTGATGGTAGCCTTTGTTACGTTGGTCCCAGCTCTCTGCAGGTCATTCACTAGGTCCCCCCGTGTGGTCCTGGGATTTTTGCTCACTGTTCTTGTGATCATTTTGACCCCACGGGGTGAGATTCTTGTCCGAGAGAGGGAGTAAACAATGCCCCATCTTTGGTGTGAGAGGAGTTGTGGCTCATCGTTGGTGTCATTGGGTGGGAAGGATCATGCCCCGTTATTGGTGTCACTGGAATGAACTGTGCCCCATCATTGGTGTCACTGATATGAACTGTGCATCATTGTTGGTGTCACTGGAAGGAACCGTGCCCCATTGTTAGTTTCATTGGGAGGAGCTTTGCCCCATTGTTGGGGTCATTGGGATGAACTGTATCCCATTGTTGGTGTCACTGGAAGGAACCGTGCCCCATTGTTGGTGTCACACAAAGGAACCGTGCTCCATTGTTGGTGTCACTGGAAGGAACCGTGCCCCATTGTTGGTGTCACTGGAAGGAACCGTGCCCCATTGTTGGTGTCACTGAGAGGAACCGTGCCCCATTGTTGGTGTCACACAAAGGAACCGTGCTCCATTGTTGGTGTCACTGGAAGGAACCGTGCCCCATTGTTGGTGTCACTGAGAGGAACCGTGCCCCATTGTTGGTGTCACTGAGAGGAACCGTGCCCCATTGTTGGTGTCACTGAGAGGAACCGTGCCCCATTGTTGGTGTCACTGAGAGGAACCGTGCCCCATCATTGGTGTCACTGAGAGGAACCGTGCTCCATTGTTTTTGTGTCACTGGAAGGAACCGTGCCCCATTGTTGGGGTCACTGGAAGGAACCGTGCCCCATTGTTGGGGTCACTGGAAGGAACCGTGCCCCATTGTTGGGGTCACTGGAAGGAACCATGCCCCATCGTTGGTGTCACTGAGAGGAACCGTGCCCCATCGTTGGTGTCACTGAGAGGAACCGTGCCCCATCGTTGGTGTCACTGAGAGGAACCGTGCCCCATCGTTGGTGTCACTGAGAAGAACCGTGCCCCATCGTTGGTGTCACTGAGAGGAACCGTGCCCCATCATTGGTGTCACTGAGAGGAACCATGCCCCATCGTTGGTGTCACTGAGTGGAACCGTGCCCCATCGTTGGTGACAGTGGAATGAATAAGGCCCCTTCCTTGATATCAGTGGGAGAAATGTTGCCTCATAAGTGGTATCATTGAAAGGAATTGTGCCCCTTTGTTGGTGTCAGTGGGAGTAACGGTGCCTCGTTGTTGGTGTCACTAGGAGGAACGGTGTTTCATTGTTGGTATCTTTGGGAGGAACGGTGTCTCATTGTTAGTGTCACTGGGAGGAACGGTGCCTTATCGTTGGTGTCATTGGGAGGAATTGTGCCCCTTTGTTGGTGTCACAGGATGAAATATTGCTCAAAAGGGCGGCATTCGGCTCCCAGGCCACAGTTTGGACACCACTGGTGTAGAGCTGTCAATCCAAATATACAAAACACAATCAATCCTATATTGTGCAATCAATATATTTGGTGTGAATATAAAGTCCAAAATCATGGTACAATAATCGTCTGTACCCCCCCCCCCCCCCCCCGAGTGAGCATACACTGATCGCTGTGCAATCCCTGTAAGCACTCGATAAAATCCCATGTGCAATTCGTGCAGAAACACTCGTCTCCTGAGCAAAACAATCCTCCGGTGGTGCGCTCCTCTCCCATATCACACCAGGCTTCTCACCTTATGGTGATGACCTGAAAGTTACACGGAGGTCAGCAAACGCATGTGTCCCCTCCAAACGCATGTGTCCCCTCCAAACGCATGTGTCCCCTCCTGGGATGATAAAATGATGATGTCCCCCACAGAACTCCGACAACGAAAGCAGCTCTCAGGGGTGCCTCACCCACTCAGAAGCCACTTGAAAATAAAGCTTCAGCACACGTCCGGTGATCACGGAAAGGTCCCGATCTCCTCTTTCGATTGGGACCTTTCCCGATCATGTGACAGCGACTCACAGCAGTCACATGTCCGTAAAACCCCGCCCCGCCTCCTAGCTTCTGAGGCCCTTAAAGGGCCGGGAGGCGCTGGTGCCAAGGGGTTAAATATTGATAGGCACACAAGTAACCCCTTGATTGCCCCTAGATATAAACCCCCTCCCAGCCAGTGTCATTAGTGCAGTGACCACTATACTAATGTCATTGGTGATGTCCGTGGCAGTTAGTTCCCACAAAGTGTCAGCGTTGGATTTCCCGCCACACTATCACAGTCCCACTACAAGTCACTGATCACTGCCACTAGCAGGGGTGGACTGACAACTCACGGGGCCCCCAGGCAATAGGGGATCATGGGGCCCCTGTGTCCTTGCCCAAACTTAAAAAAGCCTATGAAAAAGGAACCAGGGGCATCTCATGGGACCCCCTACTGACCCCGGGCCCCCATGTTTCCAAATGGTCAGTCCGCCCCTGGCCACTAGTATAATTTAAAAAATGAATAAAAATTACAGTATATATACCATAGTTTGTAGACGCTAAAACTTTCACGCAAACAAAAATTGGGATTTCTTTTTTTTACCAAAAACATGTAGCAGAATACACTTTGGTTAAAATTTTTGAAGAAATTAGATTTTTTTTTTTAAATTGTTTGTATATTATAGCAGAAAGTAAAAGTTTTTAAAAGTTTTTTTTGTTTTTTTTTAATTTTCTGTATTTTTTTTTTTAATTTTCTGTATTTTTTTTTTTTTTAATTTTCTGTATTTTTTTTTCGTTTATATAATAAAATATTAAAAAAAAAACCCAGTGGTGATCAAATACCACCAAAATAAAGCTCTTAAGTGCGTGAAAATAATGGTATAAACTTCTTTTGGGATACAGCGTTGCATGACCGAGCAATTGCCACTTAAAATAGCGCAGTGCTGAATAGTAAAAAAATGGCCTGGTCATGAAGGGGGTACAACCTTCCGGAGCTGAAGTGGATAATATTTGGCTATGTTTGCAGTATACAACAGCTGATGTGGATGTGCATCTGGCCAGTGGGGGTGTTAAAGTGTCACTGAACCCCCCCACAGTACAATCAGTCTGTAGATGCAGTAAAGCAGGTTAAAGTCACTGTGGAATCTAAGGGGTTAATCCTCTGCATTATGTAAAAATGCTATTTGGTCCTGTTTTGTCTGCCCCTCCTCTTGTTCAAATGTCCACACCTTATCTCCTGATAAGACAGACTGAACCCATAGCCTCCTGCACATGCTCAGTTTAGTGTGTGTTGCTAGAGAGGTTTTTTTTTTTTCTTGGGAGAGTGCTTGTGATCAGCACTGGTCAGACAGAGGTCAGGGGTTTTTCAGCCTCCTAGAGCAGAAAGAAAACTCCTCCTACAAGCTTTAACCAGTGCTCTGCTGGACACTGATAGAAGTCACAAGACTGCTCTATACTGCTGATATGAGAGGGTATTTAGCAGTTTATATTTACTAAAATAATTGCACTTCCATATTCTGTGTACTGTGGGAGAGAGGATATAGTGAATGCAGAGTCCGGGGAGAGCGGATATAGTGAATGCGGGGTCCGGGGAGAGCGGATATAGTGAATGCGGGGTCCGGGGAGAGCGGATATAGTGAATGCGGGGTCCGGGGAGACCGGATATAGTGAATGCGGGGTCCGGGGAGAGCGGATATAGTGAATGCGGGGTCCGGGGAGAGCGGATATAGTGAATGCAGGGTCCGGAGAGAGCGGATATAGTGAATGCAGGGTCTGGGGAGAGCGGATATAGAGCGGATATAGTGAATGCAGGGTCCGGGGAGACCGGATATAGTGAATGCGGGGTCCGGATATAGTGAATGCGGGGTCCGGGGAGAGCGGATATAGTAAATGCAGGGTCCGGGGAGAGCGGATATAGTGAATGCAGGGTCCGGGGAGAGCGGATATAGTGAATGCAGGGTCCGGGGAGAGCGGATATAGTGAATGCAGGGTCCAGGGAGAGCCGATATAGTGAATGCGGGGTCCGGGGAGAGCGGATATAGTGAATGCGGGGTCCGGGGAGAGCGGATATACAGAATGTGGGGTCCGTGGAGAGCGGATATAGTGAATGCGGGGTCCGGGGAGAGCGGATATAGTGAATGCGGGGTCCGGGGAGAGCGGATATAGTGAATGCGGGGTCCGGGGAGAGCAGATATAGTGAATGCGGGGTCCAGGGAGACCGGATATAGTGAATGCGGGGTCCGGGTAGAGCAGAAATAGTGAATGCGGGGTCCGGGGAGAGCGGATATAGTGAATGTGGGGTCCGGGGAGAGCAGAAATAGTGAATGCGGGGTCCGGGGAGAGCGGATATAGTGAATGCAGGGTCCGGGGAGAGTGGATATAGTAAATGCAGGGTCCGGGGAGAGCGGATATAGTGAATGCAGGGTCCGGGGAGAGCGGATATAGTGAATGCAGGGTCCGGGGAGAGCGGATATAGTGAATGCGGGGTCCGGGGAGAGCGGATATAGTGAATGCGGGGTCCGGGGAGAGCGGATATAGTGAATGCGGGGTCCGGGGAGAGCGGATATAGTGAATGCGGGGTCCGGGGAGAGCGGGTATAGTGAATGCGGGGTCCGGGGAGAGCGGGTATAGTGAATGCGGGGTCCGGGGAGAGCGGGTATAGTGAATGCGGGGTCCGGGGAGAGCGGGTATAGTGAATGCGGGGTCCGGGGAGAGCGGGTATAGTGAATGCGGGGTCCGAGGAGAGCGGATATAGTGAATGCGGGGTCCGAGGAGAGCGGATATAGTGAATGCGGGTCCGGGGAGAGCGGATATAGTGAATGCGGGGTCCGGGGAGAGCGGATATAGTGAATGCGGGGTCCGGGGAGAGCGGATATAGTGAATGCGGGGTCCGGGGAGAGCGGATATAGTGAATGCTGGGTCCGGGGAGACCGGATATAGTGAGTCTGGGGAGAGCGGATATAGTGAATGCGGGGTCCGGGGAGAGCGGATATACAGAATGTGGGGTCCGTGGAGAGCGGATATAGTGAATGCGGGGTCCGGGGAGAGCAGATATAGTGAATGCGGGGTCCGGGGAGAGCAGATATAGTGAATGCGGGGTCCGGGGAGAGCAGATATAGTGAATGCGGGGTCCGGGGAGAGCAAATATAGTGAATGCGGGGTCCGGGGAGAGCGGATATAGTGAATGCGGGGTCCGGGGAGAGCAGATATAGTGAATGCGGGGTCCGGGGAGAGCGGATATAATGAGTCTGGGGAGAGCGGATATACAGAATGCGGGGTCCGGGGAGAGCGGATATACAGAATGCGGGGTCTGGGGAGAGTGAATATAGGGATCTGTCCGCTGATCCCCTGCTGATCAGAACAGATCGAATGGTTGAAGACAAGTCTGTGTCAGAGCTCGTTCTACTCTACTGTCTGTTTACACCCAACTTGCCCTCCGATCCGCCTACATGGAGGAGGTTGGATCCCTTTCCGTTTTGTTTTTTAGCAGGAGGAGGTAGGCGGGCGTACATGAACACAAGTCTACTTACATGGTCCATAGGAGTGAATGGATCATCCGTTCAGGTCCGCCTGAAAAACTGACAGGTGGGCCTGATGGAAATGGTTGTCTGAAAGGGGCCTGTGGATCATTGTCTGTGTGTTTGCCGGACTTACATGCATGTTGCTTGCTGACATACTGAGTTGGTAAATCCTGTCTTTGTATTTCCAGAGCAGTCCTTTGGGATCTTCAGCTCCTTGGCGGCAGTGAACCTTGGCACAGAGAGCGGCGGAGATCCACAGGATAATGTGAGTGGGTGTCTTCATTATGTCAAGGAGTACTAATAGCAGCTGTGTGTGCTGAGGGCCGATCCACGTCCGGTGCATTATGGAGTATCTTTGACCATTTTCTAGAGTAGGCAAACATGACATGGAAAAAAAATATTGTTCTTGTGTCACTGATGTCAGTTTAAATGAGGTCCTTTATAAATACACCAGCACCCATATCACAGACACCATACCTGTCTACTCTGGGCACCCATATCACAGACACCATACCTGTCTACTCTGGGCACCCATATCACAGACACCATACCTGTCTACTCTGGGCACCCATATCACAGACACAACACCTGTATACTCTGGTCTGAACAAGCCCAGAAACAATGAAGGGAGTTTAATGAGACTGGAGCAGCAAAAATCTGGAGCGGCTGTGCAGGGTAACCAGTCAGCTTCTAGCTTTAATTTTCAAAGCTTAGCTTTATAGGCTGAAGTCAAAAAAACTGATTGGTTGTTATGAACAGCTGCTCCAGATTCTGTCTGCTCCAGTTCTTAGTAAATTCCCACTGATGGCCCCTGACCAAGTAATTGTTCTAGACATCACTGTGCTGCTTTACCGCTCATGTTTACCCGCAGTCTCTAAGTATCCAATGTATCTCCCCCTCCTTCTCTCTCCCCCTCTCTCCCTTCCTCTCCCTCCCTCTCTCCCCCCCTGCCTCCCCCCCTCTCCCCTCATTCTCTCGCTCTCTCACCCCTCCTCTCGCTCTCTCCCCCTCCTTCTCTCGCTCTCTCCCCCTCCTTCTCTCGCTTCCCCCTCCTTCTCTCGCTCTCTCCCCCTCCTTCTCTCGCTCTCTCCCCCTCCTTCTCTCGCTCTCTCCCCCCTCCTTCTCGCTCTCTCCCCCTCCTCTCTCTCTCTCCCCTCTCCCTCTCTCCCCCCCTCCCTCTCTCCCCCCTCCCTCTCTCCCCCCCCCTCCTCTCTCCCCCCCCCCCTCTCTCTCCCCCCTCTCTCTCTCTCCCCTCCCCCCTCCCTCTCTCTCCCCCTCCCTCTCTCTCTCTCCCCCTCCCCCCTCCCTCTCTCTCCCCCTCCCTCTCTCTCTCCCCCCCCCCCTCCTCTCTCCCCCCTCCCTCTCTCTCCCTCTCTCCCCCCCCCTCTCTCCCCCCTCCCTCTCTCTCCCCCCCCCCCCTCTCTCTCCCCCCTCCCTCTCTCTCTCCCCCCCTCCTCTCTCTCTCCCCTCCCCCTCTCTCTCCCCCTCCCTCTCTCCCCCTCCCCCCTCCCTCTCCCCCTCCCCCCTCCCTCTCTCCCCCTCCCCCCCTCCCCTCTCTCCCCTCCCCCCTCCCTCCCTCTCTCTCCCCTCCCACCCTTCCCTCTCTCTCCCTCCTCCCCCCTCTCCCCTCTCTCCTCCCTCTCCACCTCCCCCCCCCCTCCTCTCTCCCCCTCCCCCTCCCTCTCTCTCTCCCTCCCCCCCCCTCTCTCTCCCTCCCCCCCCCCTCTCTCTCCCCTCCCCCTCCCTCTCTCTCCCCTCCCCCTCCCTCTCTCTCCCCTCCCCCTCCCTCTCTCTTCCCTCCCCCCTTCCTCTCTCTCCCCCCCCTTCCTCTCTCTCCCCCCCCCCTTCCTCTCTCTCCCCCCCCTTCCTCTCTCTCCCCCCCCTCCCTCTCTCTCCCCTCCCCCTCCCTCCCTCTCCCCCCTCCCCCCTCTCTCCCCTCCCCCCCCCCCCTCCCTCTCTGCCCTCCCTCTCCCCCCCTCCCCCCCCTTCTCTCTCTCCCCTCCCCCTTCCCTCTCTCTCTATGCCCTCCCTCTCCCCCCCTCCCCTCTCTCCCCCCTCCCTCTCCCCCCCTCCCCCCCTTCTATCTCTCCCCTCCCCCTTCCCTCTCTCCCCTCCCTCTTCCCCTCCCCCCCCCTCTCCCTCTCCCCCCCTCCCTCTCCCCCCCCCCCCTTTCCCCCCCCTCCCTCTCCCCCCCTCCTTTCCCCCCTCCCTCTCCCCCCCCCCCTCTCCCCCCCCCTCCCCCCTCTCTCTCTCTCTCCTCCTCCCTTCCTCTCTCCCCTCTCCTCCCTTCCTCTCTCTCTCTCTCCTCTCCTCTCTCTCTCCCTCCTCCCTCTCTCTCCCCCTCCTCCCTCTCTCTCCCCTCCTCCCTCTCTCTCCCTCCTCCCTCTCTCTCTCCCCTCCTCCCTCTCTCTCCCCTCCTCCCTCTCTCTCCCCTCCTCTCCCTCCCCCCTCCCTCCTCTCCCCTCCTCCCCTCCTCTCCCTCTCTCCCCTCCTCTCCCTCTCTCCCCTCCTCCCCTCCTCTCTCTCTCTCCCCTCCTCTCTCCCCTCCTCTCTCTCTCTCCCCTCTCTCTCCCCCCCTCCCCTCCTCTCCCTCTCTCCTCTCCCCTCTCTCTCTATCCCCCCTTCCTCTCTGCCTCTTCCCCTCTTCCTCTCCCCCCATCCCCTTCCCCTCCCTCCCCCCCCCTGGCTGTGGTTGGACGGGCTGAGCATTGTACTGATTGGTACCAGCATTCAGGAACCAAGGTCTGGAATGCATGTCTTCTGCATCAACTGTCCTAGCTAGCAAAACACTGGTGATGCAGTATGGACACTACCCAGCCCCCCCCCCCCCCCCATTGCTGCCCCCGCTCCATGTGGTAGATTCAGGTATCTGTTCCCGACAGGTACCTAAATCTGTCACCTGCATCAGCACTTCTCACTCGGTGGATCGCCGCAATTCTAAAGGGTGTCCACTCTTTATGAATTTCAGAGATTGTTTTCTGGCAACAACAGTATTTCATAAATGAATTCCTTATTTATTACACACACTTTTTTTATTTCTATGCAGGCCAAGATGGCCAGCAAATGTGGCCGCGGTTGGGACAAACTCTGATCCTGCCAAGGTTGCTTCCAGTAATCCCCTTTTATTGACTTGGTTTAAACTGTAAGTGTCAGTGAGCAGCTGTCTGTCATCCTAGCTGGTGGATAAAACAACGCAGACACCAAATCCGTCCGAGGGTTGGCAGTTTAAAAACAGCTGACGCATTATTATTTTTTTTTTTTAATCTTTACAGCTCATTCATTGTAGTGTATATAAAATGACTATTTACTCTGCTGTTAGGAAAATGAAAGGTAAGTCTTTTTTAAGTTGCCATGTAATAATAGGGCCAAAATCAGGGTGGGAGTAGTAAGGCATTGTATTTTATCACACGTTAAAGTGGTTCTTCAGCCTCAAGGATTTTTACCTTTAAAGCGGAGTTCCACTCACTCTGTAACAGCCACTCACCTGCCCCACGATCCCTTGGTGTCCTGCCCGCAGCCCGTTTCACCGGCCTTCCTGTATTCCAAGCGCCAACATCTTCAGTGTGGGCACCCGGCTGTGACAGCTTGCGGCTTCACAGCCGGGTGCCCACTGCACATGTGCGAGTAGCGCTGCGCTTCCTGAATGGCCCCGTAGTCTTCTGGGACCTGTCACATGTCCCAGAAGACTACAGAGAGGGAGGGGGGAGGACAACTTCCGCTTCCGATCACCTTAGGTGATCGCAGCGGAGGTGGGAGTGGGTACCTGTCAATTTCTGGTACCCACTCCCCCAAGGTGCCAAACCTAAATGGGGAGCGGGGGTACCAGAACTTCCCCTTTTGGGTGGAACTCTACTTTAATACATTCTATGCATTAAGACAGTGGTCTCCAAACTGCGGCCCTTTGCTTATTTTTAGCCGGCCCTTGTGGCACTATTTCTCCCACTAACACCAATGATGGGGCACTATTCCTTTCACTGACACCAACAATCAGGCAATAATTCCTGCACTGACACCAATAGTGGGACACTATTCCTCCCACTGACATCAGTGATGAGGAACCATTTTCCCCCACTAACATCAATGATGGGGCCCTTTTCATCTCACTATCACCTTTTGATGGGGCACTATTCCTCCAACTGATACCAATGATGGGGCACTATTCCTCCCACTGACACCAATGATGGGGCACTATTCCTCCCACTGACACCAATGATGGGACACTATTCCTCCCACTGACACCAATGATGGGACACTATTCCTCCCACTGACACCAATGATGGGGCACTATTCCACCCACTGACACCAATGATGGGACACTATTCCTCCCACTGACACCAATGATGGGGCACTATTCCTCCCACTGATACCAATGATGGGGCACTATTCCTCCCACTGATACCAATGATGGGGCACTATTCCTCCCACTGATACCAATGATGGGGCACTATTCCTCCCACTGATACCAATGATGGGGCACTATTCCTCCCACTGACACCAATGATGGGGCACTATTCCTCCCACTGACACCAATGATGGGACACTATTCTTCCCACTGACACCAATGATGGGACACTATTCCTCCCACTGATACCAATGATGGGGCACTATTCCTCCCACTGATACCAATAATGGGGCACTATTCCTCCCACTGATACCAATGATGGGGCACTATTCCTCCCACTGATACCAATGATGGGGGCACTATTCTTCCCACTGACACCAATGATGGGGGCACTATTCTTCCCACTGACACCAATGATGGGGCACTATTCCTCCCACTAATACCAATGATGGGACACTATTCCTCCCACTGACACCAATGATGGGGCACTATTCCTCCCACTGATACCAATGATGGGGCACTATTCCTCACACTGATACCAATGATGGGGCACTATTCCTCCCACTGACACCAATGATGGGGCACTATTCCTCCCAATGACACCAATGATGGGACACTATTCCTCCCAATGACACCAATGATGGGGCAATTCCACTGACACCAATGATGGGGTTTATGTCAATGGAAGCAGCAGCCAGGCTTTGGATTGAGCCTCCACAAGTGCCCCCATGGGTATATGTTCCCTATTGGAGGCACCAGCAAGAGAAGAAGAGCCAGGAGCACCGGCAGGGGACCCAAGAAGAAGAGGAAAATTCTATCATGGTCAGGTAAGTATAGGCATGTTTTGTTATTAAAACAAAAAAAATTATACCAATAAATTGTATATGTTTTTGTTGTTTTTTTAAAAAGCTTTTTTTTGGTCACACTTCTCTTGTGGGTCACTTGTGCTGTCCTGTGACCCAGAATCCATTAGCAGCGGGCTAAAGTCTGCTGATGTCACAGAGCTGCTCCAGGCTCTGAAAGGATCTCAAAAATAATGTCTGTATTCACTCAGGTGCCTGATTGGCAGCTGCCTCAGCCTCTCGGCACGCTACTGAGAACCTGAGCCAGCTGCTACCGCCCTCTCTACAGCCCGGCACTCCAGTGAGTGCTGGAGGGACAGAGCAGAGAGACGGTGACTGACTGTCACTGCTCTCTGCTCAGAGCTGAGAACTTGGCGATTAGGAGGCATGTGATCAGCTTAGAGACTGTGGGGGACAGCTGCAGCATCACAACGAAACTGCAGCATAGAGGTGTGTATGGATGTTTGTTTTTCAAGTATCTTTAGTGCCTCTATTACTATGTATTAGCCATGTCCATGGAACTGAGTCCATGCCTTTGTGTAACTGAAATCAGACATTTACTTTTACCAAACACCAGAGTGATTATCTGTCTCTCAGGTTTCTGTGTCCGGAGGGGAGGCTGCAGTACATCCTACGGATCCAGGACGAGGTGGAGATTCTGGAAGTAATTGCAATTCTCAGATTGACTCTGTTGTGGGTGAGTGTTGGGGCTGCAAAACTCTATCCAGTGCCTGATATACACTATATTGCCAAAGTATTGGGACAGCCCTCCAAATCATGTGATTCAGGTGTTCCAATCCCCTCCATGGACACAGGTGTATACAATCAAGTCCCTAGGCATGCAGACTGCTTTTACAAACATTGGTGAAAGAATGGGTCCCTCTCTGGAGCTCAGTGACTCCAAGCGTGGTCCCGTGATAGGTGGCCACCTGGGCAATAAGTCCATCTGTGACATTTCCTGGCTACTAAATTTCCACGCTCAACTGTTAGTGGGATTATAGCAAAGTGGAAGCAACTGGGAATAACAGCAACTCAGCCACCAAGTGGTAGGCCACGTCACATGACAGGGCGGGGGTCAGCGCATGCTGAAGCGCACAGTGCGCAGAAGTCACCAACTGTCTGCAGAGTCAATAGATAAACTTCATGTGACCTTCAGATTAGCACAACAACAGTGCGTAGAGAGCTTCATGAAATGGGTTTCCATGGCCGAGCAGCTGCATCCAAGCCTTACATCACCAAGTGCAATGCAAAACGGCGGATGCCGTGGTGTAAAGCACGCCGCCGCTGGACTCTAGAGCAGTGGAGATGTGTTCTCTGGAGTGATCAATCATGCTTCTCTGTCTGGCAATCCGATGGACGTGTCTGGGTTTGACGGTTGCCAGGAGAACGGTACTTGCTTGACTGCATTGTACCAAGTGTGAAGTTTGGTGGAGGAGGGATTATGGTGTGGGGTTGTTTTTCAGGGGTTGGGCTTGGGCCCCCCTAGTTCAAGTAAAGGGAACTCTTAAGGCGACAGTTTTGGACAATTTCATGCTCCCAATTTTGTGGGAAGAGTTTGGGGATGGCCCCTTCCTGTTCCAACATGACTGCGCACCAGTGCACAAAGCAAGGTCCATAAAGACATGGAGGAGCCAGTTTGGGGTGGAGGAACTTGACTGGCCTGCACAGAGTCCTGACCTCAACCCCATAGAACACCTTTGGGATGAATTAGAGCGGAGACTGCGAGCCAGGCCTCCTCCCCCCGACATCAGTGCTTGACCTGACAAATTTGCTTCTGGAAGAATGGTCCAACCTTCCCATAGACACCCTCCTAAACCTTGTGGACGGCCTTCCCAGAAGAGTTGAAGCTGTTATAGCTGCAAAGGGCGGGGCCTCAACTCAAAGACTATTGGTCAACCCTACGGACTAAGACTGGGGGGCCATTAAAGGTCATGTGCGTGGAAAGGGGGCGGGCCGAACCAATACTTGGGGGGGCAGTAAAGGTGGCGTATGTGCAGACCTGCCTTACTGCTCCCTACATGGAGACAGAAATAGACTGTCTTTTAGCAAAGCCATTCTCATTAGTGAACATTGAGGGTTCATAACTCTGTATCTGGTCATTAACTGTAGAAAACTTTCAGGCATTTATCAGAAATGATCACTTCATATCATTCTTACATTCTCTATCACAAATAAAGACCTCTCTAGCCAAAGTATTTTGGATTAACCCTTTCGCTGCCAGATACGGTTTTGCATTTTTTTTTGTATTGGGTTATGAATCCTGTTCCAGACAGGTACATGAATCTGTCGCCTGCACCAGCATGTGTTCTGTGGTGGACTGAGAGTCTGTACATTACAAAGGGGGACAGAACATGTGACAACAATACCAATACAATGCAAAACATGAGGGGATCGAGGGCCCTGATCCTTGGAGCTTACAATCTAGGAGGGAGGGGATGGTGGCACAGGAGGAGATAGCTGTGGGGGATGGAGTGGTAGGAAGAGTGGAGGAGGTCTGCAAGTTAGCAGGGGGTGGGGTAGGCTTCCCTGAAGAGATGGGTTTTCAGGGTGCGCCTAAAGGAGAGGAGAGTAGGTGATAATCTGATGGGTTGGGACAGGGAGTTCCAGAGGATGGGTGACACCCTGGAGAAGTCCTGGAGGCGGGCATGGGAGGAGGAGACCAGGGAACTAGAGAGAAGGAGGTCTTGTGAGGAGCGGAGTGTGCGTGCTGGGCGGTACTTGGATATCGTAATAAAGAATGTGCTGCCTAAATGTATTTTTGCATGCAAAACTTTGTGGTAAAGCAGAATGAAGTTTTTTGGGGTTTTTTTTGTTTTTTTTTAAATAATGATAAACAGAGTAAGTTTTTTTTACTTTGAGTAATGTAAAGGATAAATGGTTGGTGAAGGACTGAATTTTTTCTGTCAGACCCGATGCTGGACCTTGATATCCGAGAACTTGCCAGTCTCACCTCGGGAGAAGGAGACCTGGAAAATTTTGGCCGGCTTTTCTCCAAACTTCAGGAAATGAAAGGTAAGGAAAAAAAATTATTTGGAGGTGAAAATCCCTGTTTTTTGTAGAATAGATATGGATAATTGTAGAGCAGAGTAGTACTTGTTGTGGAACACTCTCTGGTCTAAGGTTAGGCAAAGTGACCTATCCAGTTCCGGACCAACGACATACCCGTACGTCGCTGGACTATTGGCTCTAATACTGTTACTGTTTTTTAAGTGCCAGCGATTGGCTGTCTTGTACAAGCAGCGGGAGGGGATGTCCCACTTCTCCCACCGGGAGACCCGAGCAACATCCGCCGGCTGGCCGGACAGCCAAACAATGCCAGAATCGGCTTTGATCAGCTCTCTGTTATAGTAAGCCTGAAACGATGACCTGACATTTCTTCCGATTTACTTGGAAGTAAGCAGTGCCATTTTTAAAATGATAAAAGCGGATGGATGGATAGATGAGTGTAGTGATATGCTTTTTCCACATGGGGTCTTGTCATCCAAAACCCTGTTTTGCTGGTTTAAGATGGATGGATGGATTTCTCCCTCTTTCCTCCAGGGGGTCTTTCCACTTCCTACAACTCCTCTCCTTAGTACTCCATGTATTGGTGACATGCAACCAAAAGAATCGAATATAGTGCCTTATCTTCTTTAACCCCCCTGGAGGTATTCCCGAGTGTAGCTCGGGGTAAAGTTTCAGCACCACAAGCGGTAACCCCCCCCGAGCTACACTCTGGAATACCCTGCAGCGATGCTCCGGGATCTCTTCTGCACTTACCTTGTCCTGCGCTCCCGCGATGTCCCCCCTGCAGTGTCCCGATGCCAGCATCTGTCTTCTGAGTTCCGTTCCCTGCGACGTCGGGACGTACGGGGGGACGGAACTGGCGGGAAATTTGAAAGTTGTAAAAGTGACGTTCACTAAATCCACTAAAATCACATAATATAACATTCCTGTATCAAACCATTTCACATACATTTTGTCCCGAGTGCTTTGTCCGGTGCCCTGCCTGCATTTTTACGGTTCTTTCTGCCTGGAAACTGAGAAACGTCCATGGCGTCCAAAAAGCGTCCCTTTAGGTCAGACGCGGTTTTAGACCGGCTAGAGAACAGCGATAGTAAATCAGAACCACTTGCAGAATTGAGTGATAATGATTGGTGGGGGGGGAAATTCCTCATCAGACACTGAAAACGATTCTGCGACTTTGTTCAGCGATGTGCGAACTTGGCGCTCTATTTCACATTTCAGTGTTTTTGGTTTGATTATATTATTGAATTAAATTTATTATTATATTATTATTATTTTTTATGATTATTAAATTATAATTTATGATTTCGTGTTTCAAATTTTAAACATACCCGGGATGTTCACTAGACTCTTGTTCAGACAGATTTCAGTGAGTTATTCCTAAAAATTACAGGCCTACAATAAAAAAATACATATTTCCATGCAAAAAAATGTACCACTTTGAGCACAGAAATACTGACATAATCAGATCGCTAGGGAGGTTCAAATATTTATTCTTCAGATATTAATGCACTCACATTTCAGAACATTCACAATCACTTTGTATTAGGTTTTGATATCCTCTGTGTGATCTCCACACTGCATATACTCGCCGTGTAATACTCCTTTAAGCACCGTGACGTCAGAGACCCTCCCCTACGCGTTACGCTACCGGGTCACGTGGCTTCATCACAGAATGGTTGTATTGTTGCACACTGAAATATAGATCAGTCACTGTAACTGTGTGCCAGTCTGATAACAACTGATTATATCACCTGAGCAGTAAAAGTGATAGATTTGAAAATACGTAGGACTGACTTTGGTATTCTCTTTCTGCATTCCTGTGGTTCTGGATGTTAGTGAAGCTCCTCTTGTTTTTGGGATTAGCAATTCTGCTAACGGTACTGCTGGAGCATGCCTTTGGTTTTTGAAAATTCTATAACTAGGGTTGCACCGATGCCGATACTGAGTTGTTGCACAAGTACTCCTGAAAGTGCTCCCAATACCAAAACGGATACCTTTGCAGTGCAATGTGAGCTCATACAAAATACATGGGTTCAAATCGCACTGCAAAGAATTGGATGTGATTTGAACAGGAATGCAGTGCTTTTCCTGTCTGAATCGCATGTGGTTTCCAGAACAGCTCCTGTGTGAACCCAGACTTGTCTTAGTGACTTTGAGTTCACACAAGAGTGGTGCAGGAAACCTCCCTGCATGACAGATTCCGCCAGCTCTGGCTCCTGATCCCATTGTGGACATCAGCGGCTGCAGCTTGAGCTCCTCCTGCTTTTCCCATTGCTTTCTCCCCCCCCAGCTTCCAGCAGTTTCAACCATCCACTAGACCAGCAATGGGCAAACCGTACGGCCCGGCGGACCTTTTAATCCGCCCGGACCTTTTAATCCGGCCCGCGGAGCGTGGCAAACATCGGCTGTCAGAATGTGTGTAGGCGGGGCAGCGTGAGGAACGTGAGGGGAGCTAGGCTCCTCTCACAGTCCGCCCTGAAGACCGGAACTGCGCGGGAACACGGCGAGAGGAACGCGCGGAGCAAAGGTAAGTGAATTGACACAGGGGGGACTTACTATAGGGGGGATGAATTACTATAGGGGGGGATGAATTACTATAGGGGGGGATGAATTACTATGGGGGGGATGAATTACTATATGGGGGATGAATTACTATATGGGGGATGAATTACTATATGGGGGATGAATTACTATATGGGGGATGAATTACTATATGGGGGATGAATTACTATATGGGGGATGAATTACTATATGGGGGATGAATTACTATATGGGGGATGAATTACTATATGGGGGATGAATTACTATATGGGGGATGAATTACTATATGGTGGATGAATTACTATGGGGGATGAATTACTATGGGGGATGAATTACTATATGGGGGATTAATTACTATGGGGGAATATTACTATACTTACTATGGATGACACATACACATCATTCATCTACTCTTGGTCTGGCCCCCGGGTCCAATATATGAACCCATTGCGGCCCTCAAGTCAAAAAGTTTGCCCACCCCTGCACTAGACTCCTATTCCCACCGGTCCCGCTGTAGCAGATTGGCGATCCCCCGCTGCCAGACATTGAAAAGCCACTTCACTGGTCTGGGGACTTGAAACCCCCGTGGCTTTCTCTCCTCTCCTTCTAGTGCTGAGAGTACAGGCTATAGGAATTTTAATTGGTCAGCACCATTATAGGGACCACATTCCTGTTCAAATTGCATTCAATTCTTTGCACTGCGATTTGAGCCCATTCTTTTTGTATGGGCTCAAATCATACCCCAAAGGTATCGGTACTTGGTACCGGCGAGTATTTGACCGAAGGTGTTGGTACTCATACTCGCTGGTAAAAAAGATGGTATTGGTGCATCCCTCTCTATTAACCTGGTATAAAAGCTAACCTAAGAATTTAAAACCTAGGTTTGGGGGAAAAAAATCCTTACAGCTTTAGTTCTATCATTTACCTGTATTGATGTACAGTATCTCCCAGAAGTGAGTCCACTCCTCACATTTGTGTCAATATTTGTGACAACACTGAAGAAATGACACTTTGCTACAATGTGACGTAGTCAGTGTACAGCTTGTATAACATGGAAATTTGCTGTCCCCTCAAAATAACTCAACACACCGCCATTAATGTCTAAACCGCTGGCAACAAAAGTGAGTCCACCCCTAAGTGACAAGGTCCACATTGGGCCCAATTAGCCATTTTCCCTCCCCGGTGTCATGTGACTCCTTAGTGTTACAAGATCTCAGGGGTGAATGGGGAGCGGGTGTGTTACATTGGGTGTTATACCTCTCACTCTCTCATACTGGTCACTGGATGTTCAACATGGCACCTCATGGCAAAGAACTCTCTGAGGATCTGAAAAAAAATAATTGTTGCTCTACATAAAGATGGCCTAGGCTATAAGAAGATTGCCAAGACCCTGAAACTGAGCTGCAGCACGGTGGCCAAGACCATACAGCGGTTTAACAGGACAGGTTCCACTCAGAACAGGCCTCGCCATGGTCCACCAAAGAAGTTGAGTGCACGTGCTCAGCGTCATATCCAGAGGTTGTCTTTGGAAAATAGACGTATGAGTGCTGCCAGCATTGCTGCAGAGGGTGAAGGGGTTGGGGGGGTCAGCCTGTCAGTGCTCAGACCATACGCCGCACACTGCATCAAATTAGTCTGCATGGCTGTCGTCCCAGAAGGAAGCCTCTTCTAAAGATGATGCACAAGAAAGCCTGCAAACAGTTTGCTGAAGACAAGCAGACTAAGGACATGGATTACTGGAACCGTCTCCTGTGGTCTGATGACACCAACATCAACTGAATGATTCAGATGTGTCAAGCGTGTGTGGCGGCAACCAGGTGAGGAGTACAAAGACAAGTGTGTCTTGCCTACAGTCAAGCATGGTGGTGGGAGTGTCATGGTCTGGGGCTGCATGAGTGCTGCCGGCACTGGGGGGGGCTACAGTTCATTGAAACCATGAATGCCAACATGTACTGTGACATACTGAAGCAGAGCATGATCCCCTCCCTTCGGAGACTGGGCCGCAGGGCAGTATTCCAACATATAACGACCCCAAACACACCTCCAAGACCACCACTGCCTTGCTAAAGAAGCTGAGGGTAAAGGCGATGGACTGGCCAAGCATGTCTCCAGACCTAAACCCTATTGAGCATCTGTGGGGCATCCTCAAACGGAAGGTGGAGGAGCGCAAGGTCTCTAACATCCACCAGCTTTGTCATGGAGGAGTGGAAGAGGACTCCAGTGGCAACCTGTGAAGCTCTGGTGACCTCCATGCCCGAGAGGGTTAAGGCCGTGCTGGAAAATAATGGCGGCCACACAAAATATTGACACTTTGGGTCAAATTTAGACCTTGTCACTTAGGGATGGACTCACTTTTGTTGCCAGCGGTTTAGACATTAATGGCGGAGTGTTGAGTTATTTTGAGGGTACAGCAAATTTACATGTTATACAAGCTGTACACTGACTACGTCACATTGTAGCAAAGTGTCATTCCTTCAGTGTTGTCACATGAAAAGATAGACTCAAATATTTACAAAAATGTGAGAGGAGCACTCACTTATGTGAGATACTGTATGTCCCATGTTATGCAGGCAGCTGGAGAAATATTCTGTGCAGGGATACCCCATCTTTTTCCTGTCTCGGATTTTCCAGTGCTGCAACAGATTCACTTTTAGGCAGAAGAGCTGTACATAACCAGCAGGGAAATGCCCCCTCCATTGAGAAAAGTTCTTTCATTGATTACAGTGCCTGTAACATGATCTATGAACGGAGGAGAGTCTGATCAGTCACAGGACGCTCTTCCCCCATTCACAGAGGGTGGTACAAGCAGTGTAATCAATGAAAAGATTTTTCTTAATGAAAGTGAACGGAGGGCTTGTGTTTCCATTGGACCATATATAATGCTGTTCTGCCTGCAGTTCAGAGACAGGAAGAGGTCAAGGCATCCTTGCAGTGAAGATTTCTCCAAGATTCAGCCGCCTGCACAACGCTGGATATCAGTACAGGTAAGCGATGTGACTAAAACTGTAATGAACTTCAGCTTTAACCACCTCCCGCCCAACATATAAGGAAATGATGGTTCTCTAGTTCTGGGAGGACGTCATATGACGTCCTCCCATTCTAACCGCGCATGTGCAGCTCCGGGAGCGCGCAGCGTGGCAATTGGTGGTGCACTGTGTCCCTCGGACACAGCGGATCACCGATCAACGGAAAGAGCCGAAGATGTTGGCTCGGTCATGTGATCAGTTGTGTCCAATCACAGCTGATCACATGTAAATAGGGAAATGTCCGGTTATCGGCATTTCTCTTCTCATGAGCTGTCTTGCTGACAGAGGAGAGGAGAGCCGGTAATGGGCATTCCTCAGAGGGAAGATGTACAGTGATCATCAGGGCACTGATGATCAGTGTACCCTGATGATCAGTGTAGCCCCAGCAGTGCCACCTGTCAGTGTCCCATCAGTGCCAGCTGTCAGGAGAGTACAGTACAAAGGGTGGGAGGAGGGTACCCTAGATGGGACCAGGGCACATTACGTGGGAGCGGGGCACATTACATGAGGGGGAACCTGGGCATATTGTGGGGCACACAGCTGAGCACATTTCGTGGGACAGACCACAGAGCACATTACATGGGGCGCAGAACATATGACAGACCACAGGGCACATTACATGGGCACAGGACATATGACAGACAACAGGGCACATTACATGGGACACGTACATATGACAGACCACAGGGCACGTTTCATGGGGCACAGGACATATGCACAGGGCACATTATGGGACACGGGAGACAGACAGGGCACGTTTCATGGGGCACAGGACATATGACAGACAGACCACAGGGCACATTACATGGGGCACAGGACATATGACAGACCACAGGGCACGTTACATAGGGCACAGGACATATGACAGACCACAGGGCACATTACATGGGGCACGGGACATATGACAGACACAGGGCACGTTACATGGGGCACAGGACATATGACAGACCACAGGGCACATTACATGGGGCACGGGACATATGACAGACCACAGGGTACGTTACATGGGGCACAGGACATATGATAGACCACAGGGCACATTACATGGGGCACAGCACATATGACAGGCCACAGGGCATATTACATGGGGCACATTGCAGGGCACATTGTGGGGGACACGGCTGGGCACACGACTGTACCTGCTTCTGTCTTATGCAGAGGCAGCTGTTCCCAGTCCTCTAGTGGCTTGCTGTTTCCCCGTCAGCCCCTCTTTCTCTTCTGTCCATCCCAGATGATGCCACATACAAGCACCTGGATGGACAGGAGGGCAGGAGGGGCCGGCAGGGACCAGCATGCCAAAGCCAATATTATCCCAGCCATTTTCCTGCCTATCTCTGCATGTGTCTGAAGTGGGGATGAGATCTGCCTGTCAGCTGCCTTCAACTGACAGGTAGATTGCTGCGGAACCCCTGTTGAGAAATACTTGTTTAGATGCTGTGATAAAAATGGGGTTGTCTTCTCGTCCACCTCACCTATGTTAAATTTAATCTACAAATCTGCTTCACCTTGTTTTTTGGTCTTAACAGATAAAGCTGCGACATTGCCACACGAACAAAGAAAATTGCACGCAGAAAAGGTAATCCTGTGAATGTGTAATCTTTTCAGTTATTGTTTGGATATATTTATATAAGGGAAAATCTTGATGAGATTGTATTAATTTTTAATGTTTTAAAAAATAAAACGTTTGTTTATAGTTTGTCATTATATACAGTTAGGTCCATATATATCTGGACACAGGCACAATTTTAGTTTTTCTCAGGTATTTACCAAAACATATTCAAGCTATAATTTTATATAATGGATATGGGCTGAAAGTGCACACTCTCGGGTTTAATCTGAGGGTATGTACATCCACATTGGAGGAAGGGTTCAGGAATTACAGCTCTTAAGAGTAGCCATCCACCTTTTTTCAAGGGACCTAAAGAAATTGGACAAATGAATATAATCATAGATAAAATGTTCATTTTTAATATTTTGTTGAGAATCCTTTACTGGCAATGACTGCCTGGAATTACCAAAGACTGGATCCCCTGATCTGGATCCCATGGACATTACCAAAGACTGGGTTTCCTCCTTCCTGTTGCTCTGCCTGAAGTCTAAAACCCATGGACATTACTAAAGACTGGGTTTCCTCCTTTCTGATGCTTTGCCTGAAGTCTTTAGACATGACCAAAGACTGAAGCTTTGCTTGAAGTCTGGAACCCATGGACATGACCAAAGACTGGGTTTCCTCCTTTCTGATGCTTTGCCTGAAGTCTGGAACCCATGGACATGACCAAAGACTGGGTTTCCTCCTTTCTGATGCTTTGCCAGGCTCTACCTGCAGCTGTCTTCAGTTTTTTTCTTTGTTTGTCGGTCTTTCTTTCTGCCTTTTAGTTTTGCCTTCAGCAAGTGAAATGCATGCTCACTTGGGTTGAGATCAGGTGAATGACTCAACCATTGCAGAATATTCCACTTCTTTTCCTTCAAAAGCTCCTGGGTTGCTTTTGCAGTGTGTTTTGGATCATTGTCCATCTGTACTGTAAAGCGCCGTCCAATCACCTTTGCTGCATTTGGCTGAATCTGGGCTGACAGTATATCTGTAAACATTGCAGAATTCATCCGGCTGCTTCTGTCTTCTGTCACATCATCAATAACACCAAGGATCCAGTGCCACTGGAAGCCATGCATGCCCATGCCATCACACTGCCTCCACCCATGCCACACACTGCCTCCACCCATGCCACCACACTGCCTCCGCCCATGCCATCACCCTGCCTCCGCCCATGCCATCACACTGCCTCCACCATGTTTTACAGATGACGTTGTGTTCTTTGGATCATGAGCTGTTCCAAGCCTTCTCCACACATATTTCTTCTCGTCATTCTGGTACAGATTCATCTTAGTTTCATCTGTCCAAAGAATGCTTTTCCAGAACTGGTCCGGCTTTTTTAGATGTTTTTTTGGCAAAGTCTAATCTGGCTTTTCTTGTGGTGAACCCTCTGTATTTTGCACCTTGTGGTGAACCCTCTGTATTTGCTCTCGTGAAGTCTTCTCTTAATTGTAGACTTTGACAATGATACGCCCACCTCCTGGAGAGGGTCCTTCACTTGTCTGGATGTTGTGAATGGGTTTTTCTTTACCATAGAGAGGATCCTGCGATCATCCACCACTGTTGTCTTCCGTGGACGTCCATGCCTTTTTATGTTGCTGAGCTCACTAGTGCGTTCTTTCCTCAGAATGTACCAAACTGTTGATTTGGCCGCTCCTAATGTTGCTGCGATCTCTCTGATGGATTTGTTTCATTTTTGAAGCCTTACAATGGCCTATTTCACTTGCATGGACAGCTCCTTTGAACGCATGATGGAGGTTCACAGCAATAGATTCCAAATGCAAATCCCGCACTTAGAATCAACTCCAGACCATTTACCTGATTAATTGATGAAGAAATAACGAAGGAGTAGCCCACACCTGGCTATGAAACAGCTTTTGATTTAACTGTCCAATTACTTTTGCAGAAACTGTGATAGATCTTCATTCAAACACACTAATAAATGAGACCTGATGCTGTATTTTTGGGTTCATTCAGGCACTCTCATAAATGAGGCCCAGTGCTGTACTGATGGGTTCATTCAGACACCCCAATGAATGAGACCTAGTGCTGTATTGCTGTGTTCATTCAGACACCCCTGATAAATGAGACCCAGTGATGTATTGCTTAGTTCATTCAGGCATACTGATGAATGAGACCCGCTGTTGTATTGTTGGGTTCATTCAGGCACCCTAATAAATAGGGCCCAGTGCTGTATTGTTGGGTTCATTCAGGCACCCTAATAAATGGGGCCGAGTGCTGTATTGTTGGGTTCATTCAGGCACCCTAATAAATGGGGCCCAGTGCTGTATTGTTGGGTTATTCAGGCACCCTAATAAATGGGGCCCAGTGCTGTATTGTTGGGTTCATTCAGGCACCCTAATAAATGGGGCCCAGTGCTGTATAGTTGGGTTTATTCAGGCACCCTAATAAATGGGGCCCAGTGCTGTATAGTTGGGTTAATTCAGGCACTTTAATAAATGGGATCAGTGCTGTACTGTTATTTCAGGTACCCTGATGAATGAGATCCAGTACTGTATTGTTGGGTTCATTCAGGTACCCTAATAAATGAGGCCCGGTACTGTATTGTTGGGTTCATTCAGGCACACTGATGAATGAGACTCGGTACTGTATTGTTGGGTTCATTCAGCCTCCCTGATAAAGGAGGCATTGTTAGTTACGGATGCAGAAGCATTGACCTGTTCAGACATGGTGACAGTTGGGAGGTGTCATGATTTTTCGTTGTGTCTTAAATGCATTTTATATCTTAATGCATTTTGTTTTCAGGTTGCCAAAGCTTTCTGGATGGCCATTGGTGGAGATCGTGATGAAATTGAAGGCATTTCCTCGGATGATGAGAACTGATGGCTGTAACCATAGCAGGGCTGATTTTCTTAAAACTGGAGTTGTATTGTAGTTGTTGTCCCTAATGACCAACCAGATTTCACCTTCTATTTTCTCACCCAATGATGGAATCAGTCAAGGTTTCTGATTGGTTGATATATGCAGCAACTCCCAGTTTTTATAAATCAGCCTCAGTATTAACACTAGTTTACCTGTATCACTTACCTTTTGGATACCAGAGTCACATTCTGCTGCTGTGTCTACAGTTACCCAACTTTCATGAACTACTTTTGGTTCATACTGCCAGCACAAGTCTAGTGCTCTCCATATGTTTGTTAGATATCATAATAATTGTGTATTTATTAGAAGGCAACAAATCTTAATAAACTGTTTTATATTCATTGCAACACCTGGTAGCATATTGATAGATACATTGAAATGGTAAAAATGTTTATTTTGGCTCTCAGTGAATATGAATACACCTTATCCTTGCATTCCTTTGGCAGTCTTCATTATTACCAACACACTAATCTGCCTGCCTGGTGTGGAGGGTTCTCCATAACATTGTATTAGGCCAGGAGGAGTGCAAGAAGAAAGGCAAGGATGTCTGCAATCATACGGAAAACCCTTATCTGCTGGAAACCCTCATTATCAGTGGTGGCCCCCGGGCAATAGGGGATCATGGGCCCCTGTGTCCTTGCCAAAACTCAAAAAAGCCTATGAAAAAGGTACCAGGGGCATCTCATGGAGCCTTCTACTGACCCGGGGCCCTCGGGGAGGGCCCGAGTTTCCAAATGGTCAGTCCACCCCTGCTCATTACCATCCACTAGACCAGAGGTCTCTAAACAAAGGGCCAGATTACGGTCCTTCAGACTCTTCAGGGGCTGGACTGTGATCAGTGTGGGCAGAATATGTTCTGGCATGAGTGAGAGTAAACAATGCCTCAGGCTTGGTGGTCAGTGGGAGTAAAAAAAAAAAAAACTACATAGCACCTTTTGTCAGTAGGAGGAGGAATCGTTACCCGTGATTGGTATCAGTGGGAGGAATAGTGCCCCATGATTGGTATCAATGGGATGAATAATGTCCCATCGTTGGTATCAGTGGGAGGAATAGTGCCCCATCATTGGTGTCGGTGGAATCAGTGGGAGGAACAGTTCCCCATCATTGGTGTCAGTGGGAGGAATAGTGCCCCATCATTAGGTGGTATCAGTGGGAGGAATAGTGCCCCATTGGTGTCAGTGGTAGTCCCCATCATTGGTGTCAGTAGGAGGAATAGTGCCCCATCATTGGTATCAGTGGGGTGCCCCATCATTGAAATAGTGCCCCATCATTGGTGTCAGTGGGAGGAATAGTGCCCCATCATTGGTGTCAGTGGGAGGAATAGTGTGCCCCATCATTGGTGTCAGTGGGAGGAATAGTGCCCCATGATCATTGGTGTCAGTAGGAGGAATAGTGCCCCATCATTGGTGTGTATCAGTGGGAGGAAATAGTGCCCCATCATTGGTATCAGTGGGAGGAATAGTGCCCCATCATTGGTGTCAGTGGGAGGAATAGTGCCCCATCATTGGTGTCAATGGGATGAATAACGCATCAAATTCAAACTGCTAACTCTGACCTACAAAGCCATTCACAATGCCGCCCCAAACTACATAACTGACCTGATACCCAAATACTACCCTACCCGCTCCTCACAGGGACTTCCTACTCTTTAGCTCCCTGGTCTCCTCTCCCACGCCCGATTGCAGGACTTCCCCCATCCTCTGGAACTCCCTACCCCAATCCATCAGACTATCGCCTACCCTCCTCACCTTCAGGCGCACCCTGAAAACCCTCCTCTTCAGGGATGCCTACCCCAACCTCACCTAACAACTAACCTCCTCCACTCCTCCTGCCACTCCATCCCCCACAGCCATCTCCTCCTGTGCCACCTTCCCCTCCCTCCTAGATTGTAAGCTCGAAAGAGCAGGGCCCTCGAACCCCTCGTGTATTGTATTGTTACTGTCTTGTCTCATCTCATGTTCTGTCCCCCTTGCTATTGTACAGCGCTGAGCATACCCTTTGGCGCTATATAAATACTGTATAATAATAATAGTGTCCCATCGTTGGTATCAGTGGGAGGAATAGAACCCCATCATTGGTATCAGTGGGTGGAATAGTGCCCCATCATTGGTATCAGTGGGAGGAATAGTGCCCCATCATTGGTGTCAGTGGGATGAATAGTGCCCCATCATTGGTGTCAGTGGAGGAACAGTGCCCCATCATTGGTATCAGTGGGTGGAATAGTGCCCCATCATTGGTATCAGTGGGAGGAATAGTGCCCCATCATTGGTATCAGTGGGAGGAATAGTGCCCCATCATTGGTATCAGTGGGGGGAATAGTGCCCCATCATTGGTATCAGTGGGAGAAGTAGTGCCCCATCATTGGTATCAGTGGGAGAAGTAGTGCCCCATCATTGGTGTCAGTGGGAGAATAGTGCCCCATCATTGGTGTCAGTGGAGAGGAATAGTGTCCCCATCACTGGTGTCATGGGAGGAATAGTGCATTCATCATTTGGTATCAAGTGGGAGGAATAGTGTCCCATTGATTGGTGTCAGTGGGAGAAATAATACCTCATAGTTGGTGACCGTGGGAGGAATAGTGCCCCAACACTGGTGTCAGTAAGAGGAAATAGTGCCCCATCGTTGGTGTCCGTGGGAGGAATAGTGCCCCAACATTGGTGTCAGTGGGAGGAATAGTGCCCCATCGTTGGTATCAGTGGGGGAATAGTGCCCCTATCATTGGTGTCAGGTGGGAGGAATAGTGCCCCATCATTGGTATCAGGTGGGAGGAATAGTGCCCCATCATTGGTATCAGTGGGGGGAATAGTGCCCTATCATTGGTGTCAGTGGGAGGAATAGTGCCCCATCATTGGTATCAGTGGGAGGAATAGTGCCCCATCATTGGTATCAGTGGGGGGAATAGTGCCCCATCATTGGTGTCAGTGGGAGGGATAGTGCCCCATCATTGGTATCAGTGGGGGGAATAGTGCCCCATCATTGGTATCAGTGGGAGGAATAGTGCCCCATGGTTGGTGACCATGAGAGGATTAGTGCCCCAACACTGGTGTCAGTGGGGAGGAATAGTTCCCCATCGTTGGTGTCAGTGGGAGGAATAGTGCCCCATCGTTGGTGTCAGTGGGAGGAATAGTGCTGAGAGAGGGGGCTGATGATGTCACAATCTCTAACTCCGCCTATCAGAGAAAGCGTTGTGTTCATTTATAGAATACAAAGCTGGCAATGAATGGCTCGGTGACATTTAGACCAACACTATTTTCTTCGGAGTGTGAGACAGGAAGGTCTCGCCTTGAACCCGAAACACAGTGCTGTATACAGTAGGAAGCCTCCGCTACATGCAGTTTATACAGCACCTCCAGCTGGCCATACATGTTAGTGAGGGAAGCTTGGCCCCAACAAACTATATAAACTGAAACTAAAGTTGGGGATCAGCTTTAAAGTAGAATAGATTTCCTTTCACTTCTTGTCCCATAGCCAACACAGGAAGTGAAAGTAAATCCCTGCAAATTAACCCCTTCCTGCCCAGTGCCGTTAGTACAGTGTCAGTGCTTTTTATTAGCACTGATCACTGTATTGTTGTCACTGAAGATGTCAGCGACACCAAATCAGTTCCGCCCCAGTATCAGTCCCGCTGTAAGTCGCTGATTGCCACCATTACTAGTAAAAAAAAAAAAAAAAAAAAATTCCAGTATCTATAAACCAATAATTTACACGTATTGGGATTTGTTTTTTTTCGCAAAGACACGGAGCAGAATACATTTTGGTGTACATTTATGAAGAAGTTTGCTTTTTTTTTTTTTTTTTAAGTTTTACTAGACCTGTTTTATAGCATAAAGGGGAAACTATTGGTTTTTTTTTTTCTTCAAAATTTTCAGTCGTTTTTTGTTTCTAGCACTAAAAATAAAAACCGCAGTGGTGATCAAATACCACCAAAAGAAAGCTCCTTTTGTGGGAAAAAAAGGATGTAAATTTCATTTGGGCGCAATGTTGCACAACCGCGCAATTGTCAGTGAAAGTAACGCAACGCTGTATAGCAAAAAATGGCGTGGTCAGGAACGTGGGCATTCTGACACCGGGTGGGAACTGACTAACTGCCACTGACATCCCCAGTGACACCAATACACAGTGATCAGTGCTAATAAAAAGCACTGACACTGTACTAATGGCACTGGGCAGGAAGGGGTTAAGGAAATCCCTTGGGGTGCCCCAGATCACAAGAACCAGTGTCCCCATTGGAATATTTCCCCTCTATTACTTTTCTGGGGACAACCCAAAATGTGGGCTTTTTTTTTCACTTTCATTGATAGAGAGGCTGAATCCTTAACGGGGGCACAGACAGCAATACAAACCTGACAGGGGGTCTAATCCTCCTGCACTCTATCCAAAACTAAGAGAAAAGTTTTGCCTTTAGTTATACTTTCATTATTAGGACTCATTCCGACGGGTACGGGGGTACCGTCCTCCACACCGAGCCACTGTGTACTGCCTCTCCAACCACCTTGGAGCTGCACGAAGACAGCCTGAAGAAGTGGATGCACGGACATAGCTGCGTGTCAAAATCTGACATTCGGGCAGGAGTAGGTGCACCAATATGAATGCACATTGTCTGCATTTGGGGTCATGCACCTTCAGGGGTGTCAAATCTGGAGCAGCAGCTGTGTCCGCGCAGCTGCTTCGTCCAAATTGACATGAATGGGACAGGATGCACAGAACACGTGCATCCCCATGTGCGTACATGTGGCCCTCGCACGGGTGTATTCCGTAGTATGCCCGTGTGAACTAAACATTATAGTTCACTTTACTTAAAGCGGAGTTCCATTCACGCTGTCAAAAAATAAAAGTCAGCAGCTACAAAAACTGTAGCTGCTGACTTTTAAAAAACAGCCACTTAGGCCCCATGTACACGGGACACTTCTGAACGATGGAAAATGACTGCTGGGAAATGTAGGTAAAAAAAGTCTTTATCC